GAGTATGTTCCGGTCCTCCGAGCATTACGGACACGTTGGCCGTGACATATTGACTACCCCCCGAGTAGCCAGCTACCTACGCCCTGGCTGGTGAGAGTGAACATTAGTCTTCCCTCGGGCGTTCTTGAATAGACTGTAGTTACTGCCATAACGCAACCAGATGCCTACGTACCAACTGGTTGTCAGCTAACCCCGTGTTATGGTCCATCATCTTTTGTTTGATTACATGAGTTATATACTAGTTGCGAAAGACTGTTATTTGATTTTATGCTAATGTGTTTTTGCCAACAAAAAGAACGAAAAATCCTCCGAAGCTGTCGATGTGTTTTGGACAAGAATCGAAAAAAAGCGTTACGAAGATTCAATCGCTACGGCAAGGGTAGGTAGTGGCGCTATAGTTTTTAGGTTGAACAAAGCTAATAATTATGACCCTTTTACAAGGCAAGTGGAATATTACATATTTTCGAAGCAACAAATAAGAGCCAGCAATATGTCACAAATATTCAACATCAAGATTTCCAAAATCTATACCAACCTCGTAACAGTAGACAAGTAAGTGTCATGTACTGTCACTGCTCAATTACTTGTCAAAGATTTAGTAATTTATTTGATTATTGATATCACTCAGGATGAGACAACAACAAATGGAAATGATTATTTGCGAAAAAGAAAAGACATAGACTATAACGAGGATCGAATGACAAAGAGGTTATATTGTGATGATGGCTATGTTACACCATTACAGCATAGTCCGAAAGATAGTTTAAGTTCACCTTCTGAGACATCTCAATACTTTCCAAGGTGTTATCACTGATTTCTTTTATTACTAATGGTGATCATCAGCACTTTTATTAAAGTTCTTTATTATTATATCTTTGTGCATGTGTCAGTGACAGGCTTGATGACAGCAGAAGTGACAATGACTTTACCTCAGAGAAAGAAGTCATAGATTTCTGGATAAGCTATTCTTTTGATGAACTTGAAAATCAATTGGAAATAGAATGCAAAGATCCAGTATGCAGTAAATTAAAATGTTATTTCTGTTATTATATAGTATATTTTACCTTATTGTAAACTATAATTTTTGTATTTTAGTGGGAAGTTAATGGTATCAATATCACAAAGAAGTTTAGACAATACCAAAGTGAACTTCTTCATGATGTAAAATATAATATTAAGAAACTAACATGGCATGATACTTTTGACTTACTGTAAGTATAAAAATAAAAAAGTGTTCTGAGCTTTTATTACATATTATTAACAAAAATTTTTTTCCCAATAGGGCTTTAGGATCAATCATAGTTCTTGACTGGCCCTGCCCATATAATACCTTTACAACTGATGAGTGGCTTGAAATAACCAACAGCAACCCATATAGGTTGACAGAACCAATATTGAGTGCTGATTTAACATCACAACTACATGATGCCACATTCAAAAAATCATTAGGGTTAACAACTAACTTTACAGAGATGACTGATAACAGCAAACATAGCCATGTGGCTAAACGAGTTTTTCTTGAGTTGTAAGTTTATGCTTTAGTTTTTTATTCTAACAGAAAATCTTGAAGAATTAATCTCCTTTTCTATTTAGGGCTGATGATGTTCCAATTATAAATCCACGAAAAGAATCTGAAGATGAACACAGATTTCAGTACTTAGATCCCTTTTTGAAACCTATATTTGGCGGACCTTATAAAAATTATAAATTGGGTTTGAATCGGTCTATCAATGGGAGTCAAAAGAGACCGGATTTTTCATGCATTGTAGATGAAGTGCCGATCCTTAACTCTGAAGTAAAACCCATTGGTTATACACCATTATTAAAAGACAAAGACTATGTCAAAGTCAATCTTAGAGCAAAGAAGACTTTAAATACTTTAATCAAGAATGGGGCCATTCCTGATCAAACAATATTTTTTATCAACTCCGGTATATATTTAATATTATTATAATCATGATTTTTAGAGTTTATTATTGTATCAATTAAATTAATAATTTATTTGACTTTTAGGCCATACTGTTGAATCTTTCATAATGGATCTCGAATTTGCAGGAGTGTATCGATCTTGGCCTTTTATGAAAACCAATCTTGTGACTGATAGACAAACACTTCCACTACTTGCACCAACATTGTCTCACTTTATTGCATTAGAGGTATTGTATACAATATATACAACATTTTATCCCTTATTTAAAATATTTTGCTCATGACTTTGTCTTTTAGGAACGTGTTAACAAATTAGCAGGAGAATACAAGTGTCGACCAAGATCCTCTAACACTAAACCAGCTGAGCGATGTACATTTATCAGAGACCTACCTAATACTCCTCAACTAAAACGTCTGTTTAAATAAAGATTGCCCACATTCGGACACGTAATTTTAACATATACTGTATATTGTGCTGACTATTACGGGGCAGATAGCAATTGACACTAGGGATTAGCTACCTTCGACGGATTTGATGGAGCATGGCTTCTATCAATAATTAACTTCGGGGGACAATTAGTGACCTGCGTTTTTCCAGACTTTCTCACTACGATCAATGAGTGACGCTAATCCTAGACAAATACTACTAATAACACGCGTGTCCACTGACAAGAGCTTTATCTATATAAAGATTAGCGAATTTCTGCACTATACCGATTAATTCAGGGAAAACGAGTATTAGTATATTCGGAGTAAATGCGATACTCGTTTATCGATAAGAATTAACGATAAGCTACTACTAAAACCAAAGGCGAAAACTACCTGTAGCTGAAACTGTCATGAGAACGCTATACAGTTATGTATTTTCCGATCGATAGTACTGTACACTCTCCAATAACGCTGATCAGTGGCTTAATCAATGACGTAAGGATTAGAAACATTCGAGATCTTTTCACAATTGCTGCTATTGTTTCCATTGTATGCAGAGTGGTCAATGATAATTGATGCGCAGTAATTTACGCATGTTGATTACAACTCAAAAAAAGGTTTGCTATAAAAAACGACCGAAATTGAGCTATTTCACAAAAAGCTTCGCGAACTGCTTTTACAAAATCTGTCCAACAGATTTTATTTTTAATGTTTGCTCTCACAAGCGAATTTATTCTCGGATTATTGATCGGAATTATCATTGGATATTATTACCTTTATTATAAAAATCCACAAAGATCATTATGAATCAGAAAATTGATAAAATAATCAATTTAATTGAGCCTATGAAAAGGCGCAATAATAAATCAAGTAAACGTCGAAAGACTGTGGATCCGATATTTTCATTTAATCAAATGGCCACTGAAATCCGCGAATTACGCGAAGGACGTTGATTTTACAAACGAAAAACGAATCCGAAGAAGAGAACGCTAGAAGCTATCGAAGACTGGATTGAAACAGATGACAGTGACAATACTATTAATAATAATGATTTTTCTTGGTAAATTTCATAAGTGATTTTTCTTTATCTTTCTTCTTTAAAATAATTCAATGGTGCTGTAATTTTTGGGTTCCATAGTGGATTTAATGTAAATTAGTTTCATATTATATTTTTATATATAGAGGTAATCCTATATTAATCCTGTTATGGTTTATATTCATCACATTCTGGTATGATAAAGTGAGCATTAAAATTAACCAGTCCAGAAGCACCATTCTTTCTTCAAAACGTCATCAATCACCCTGGTCAATTTACAGTCACATCATAATCAGCCTCTCATTTATGAAATGTTCACTTTGTCTGGTTTTGTTGCAGCATGCCCCATTTGTGATCTTAGGGTTAGTATAGGTATGAAAATTGTTTATGTTCAAGTTCACTTAATTTTTTTTTGAGAATAGAAATAAGGGGAGATATTATTATTATGGACATGTTAATTTTAATGTTCACTTTATGTGATGAATATAAACCATAATAATGATGTGAGTAATATAAGCCTACCCCTATTACTATATTAATATTAATATAAAAATAATAATATATCTGAAACTAATTTATGTTAAAATACATACTACTGGAATAAAAATTAATAACCAGTTGTTGAAAGTTGTTGTGTTTGCTGGTGATTGGTAAAAGAAAAAAGGGTTAATTGTACTTGGCTTGGAACAACTCAGGCATGTTGCAGCAAAAGGAGATAGAGTAAATGATGAAACCTTTCCTTTATTAATAGTAATAGTTGCTTAGTTTTCAATTCGCTCTGAATAATATTATGAACCTTTGAGACAACAAACGAATCCTTGTATGATTTCACAAGGTTTGCATATGTTAGAGTTGAGGTCTAGATGCTATTCAGAAAATTCACTTATGACATATATATACTCCCCTTCTAACAGCTGCCTACCTAGTTGCCCATTGCTATTCATTAGACTTCTGTTTGAATGGTCTCAGTAACTGGTTTGTGGTGATGTGGAAATGGTTTCAAGGGCTGGAAATATGGGAATGAATTGAACTGGCTGGATAGCAGGTTAGTCTTGTTGTAGTAGTAATAGTAATAATCAGCAACCTTGCAATATAGTTACAATTCTGTTGCCGCCACTTGGCCGCGCAAACAGATTGAAAACTATCTTAGGAATCAGCTCGCCACTTGGCCGCAGCGTCATCCCGGCCTTACCTGTAGTTGACCTTACCACAAAGAGGCCATCCGCCACTTGGTCGCAATGGCATTTGACATGTAAGGTGCGCCAGAGGAACCATACCGCCACTTGGCCGCATATGATTCATGAACGCGCAGCTCGCGGCTTCCATCGCCACTTGGCCGCAGGAAGTGACGGAGCTGAGACGCCCGAAGGTCGTCGAACGCCAGAAAAAAATTTTTCACCGCACCATTTTCATACGTTCCTGTGTAACATAAATTTGCATTCGACCCAACGCGACCTACGGGTCGAAAATTGATCGGCGATAGAAATTTACAGACTGCACTGCGTGTCTATCTTACTCACTTTTTGCCCAACGACATATTCATCTTACTCTATGACTGCTGAACTGCCTTCGCGACCGTTTTTTGCCTCAGATGATGTCCTTCCGCCATTCAATCCGCCAGAAGATCTTCATCCAGCGCTGGCAGCCATGGAAATTAAAGACTGGACCTATCGAGGCTTTATGCGGCAGATAATTATATTAAATATCCCAGTCGAATCAATTCAGAGCGTTCAGCGGCTTTGGCTGGAGGAGTTAAATAACTTGTGCTTGAGAAAGGAAATACATCTTGCATATCGTGCTTTTGCCAGGCGGCTAATAGATTTTCAGGTAACGAGCCAGCGAGAAAACATTAGACTGCATACTCGTTGCTTAACCTCGTTTTCTTAGCCATTCGAGCAGCTGAAGGAGACCGAGACAATTTTAAATCGCTACATTCGTCTCAGATTGCAGAGTCAAGTCAGCGATGCATTTAAGGCTATTCAAGAGGTAGGAAACAGTTTACTCTAACAGATTGTATTTGCTCTCTTCTAATATTATCTTACATTATTAGCGGACAGAACTGCAAACAAGAGATACCCTTGCATCTGGGCTGGTTACGAATATTTTGGAAAAGCTGTTGATGACGTTAGTATTCTCTTCATGGAGAGCAATTGATTTGGTGAAATACTATGTACACTGACATGTTTCTCGATGGGATTATGGCCATCAGCGGGACTAAGAACCGATTGAGGCCGTCAGATCTAAAAGGCGCCGCCTTCTTTGCAAAGTGAGGGAGATTTTTTTTTTTTACGTAAAGTTAGTAAATAGTTATGTCCTTGTGCGTATAAATTTCAATTTATTTAGGTGAGCGAAAGTGGAAGTCCAATACCGACATTAGAAAAGTAGGTTGCACTTCCGTTAATGTTTGAAAATGTTAGCATTTAACAATTTACATGATCTCTGAATTCTTAGTGACGGCTTATCAGATCCTGAGGATTTCGTCAGTGATCAGGAGGTTAGTTCTTTTCTTTTGTTCGCTACGCATGTGTAATTTTTTCTACAGAGGCTGACTATTGTTATCAGCAGGTGAAGGCCACACAAAAGTGCTTCCTACAGAGGAACAACGTATGTAATGAGCGTGATCCGCATAGGCTCAAACATATTAATATGTCATTCTTGACTATTCAATGTATTATCAAGCTGGAAGTCAATGATCAAAGCAATGAAAACGTGTGTCAGATCGTCGACGAACAATTCTCTGTAGATATGCATATACAGCATCAGTTGCAGCAGAGAGCTTTAGAAACGGCGTCGACTACGGCTACGGTAGCAACTCCTCCAATCACACAGCCGCGAAATGTTCATCATACATGTTGAATACTAATATAATACCACTTATATTTTTTACTATGACCTTTTTTTTATGGCACGGAATTAAGGAATCCTCACAATCTGTTGATACTAGTGGAGATAGTGATGATAGAGATGAAGTGATCACGATAGAAATCAATGCGATCGAGGAACAATTACGAAGACAACCTTTATGCGAGGTATTTACAAAAATGGATTTTGCTCTCCTCTCTCTCTCTCTCTCTCTCTCTCTCTCTCTCTTTTCCTTTCATTCGTTCATATTTTTTTTTCTTTTATGCAAACTATTTTATGTAGTGGATACTCGACGATATCAACGTCTCGCAAAGGTTTCGCAACTATCAACAGGAATCGTTGAGGAAGCTAAAAGCTGGAAAGCTAACTTGGAAAAATAAATACGAAATTTTGTAAGTATGGTAGAAATATGAACGTTGACTATCACATCCTTATGCATTGGAAATTGTCTAACTCTCCAATTCCTCTATTGCCAAATGCGTTTTCTTGTCTATTGATCAGGGCACTTTCCGCAGTCATGGTCTTTGACCAGATTTGTCCGTATCCAGGTGCCTTCACATTGAAAGAATGGGCGAGAGTCATCGAAGCAAATCCTTACCGTGTGAAGAAAGCAGTCATTCCGGAAAGCTTATCAACCGTGGTCCATAATGCCGTGATAAGGTATTCGCTCGGAGAGGATAGCTATATGATACCAGATAGTTCTGCGCTGGGCAGAGCTGCTGCGCGAGCGTTTAATGAGCTGTAAGTATTCTTCCAATTCACTAGTTAATGATAGAACGCAATTGATTGGTTATTTGCTTTACCATTAGGCGGGAGTGTATTCCCTTGCTCGCCCCGTCAAAAACTTCTGAGGACGAACATTGTGTCATGTACCTCCATAATCTTATACGACCACTCTTCCTGGGTGTGAAAAATTACGAGGTCAAATTAAACCGGGCCATGAGAGGAACGACTAGGCGGCCTGATTTTTCGTGTCACGTTGACGACATCGCTTTTCTTAACTCAGAAATCAAGCCGCTTGGATGCGGGCCCCTGCGGAAGACTAAGGATATCATCAAGGCTCATTTGCGGGCCAAAAAGTCGATAAACCAGCAGCTTTCCGCGAGGGGCGGACCTGGGGAAAGCGCATTACTCACAAACTTCGGTGCGCCCTTGATTTTTTTTTTTTTGCTTAAATTTTTTTGTTTACGAGAGCTGTATATAAAATTATAGGGGCCGTTGTTCAAAGCTACGTCATGGACCTCAAATACGATGGCATGTACCGATCTTGGCCACTTCTGGCCACTAGATTGGTGATAGACCAACTCAGCATGCCGCAGTTCGAATCAGCGTTCACGCATTTCGTAGCTTTGGAGGTATTTGATGCATATACCTTAACTGTTTTAGTCTCCGTGTATATGTGTTAAAATTATTTCATCTGTTATATTTGCAGAATTGTGTCTCCGCCCTCGCCGCTGATTTCATACTACGACCAGAAGAGGGATATTTTACGCCCCCCTTGCAAATCAAGTACACGCGTGAGATTCCAGATTCGCTCCAGATCCGGTCTTTGTTTTAAATAACGACGCCTTTGGCTAGTATGACCACCCCATCGCTTGGTTCAATCACCGCAAAATTAGTGTCAAATTTGGCACATACTTACGTGTAATGTATTAATATACACAAAATTGCAAGATATTAGAGTAAAAGTACGAAATTATCTAGAGCTGACTTTGTCTTACGAAAAACGATTATGATACTCAAGCATTTAAAAAAGCATTAAAAATTAATCCACATATCCATTTAAAAGCGCAAAAGGAGATTTATCAAATATTGCCCGAGGAATCGCATTTTATTGGCAATCAAATGTAAACATTGACATAATTGAACAATGCAGTTGCATCATATTTACAAGAAATAACATCAAGTTATACTACTAAAGTTTAAATTGTTTAAAAATCAAAAATTTGCACATTCATCCGAAAGTGCAAAAATTACTATTGAATGCAAGAAAGTTTAAACCGTATCACTTTTTCAATTATTCCGGGATGACGCTGCGGCCAAGTGGCGGCAATAGAATTGAAACTATATTGCAAGGTTACCGATTATTACTATTACTACTACAAGACTAACCTGCTATCCAGCCAGTTCAATTCATTCCCATATTTCCAGCAACTAGGAAGGCAGCTGTTATAGTTAGAAGGGGAGTATATTATGACCGAATTTTCCATCAATGTTAGATGGTTGTTACTCATCTTCCTTGATCCTCATCACTGCACTTTCTGAATAGCCTCTAGACCTCAACTCTAACATATGCAAACCTTGTGAAATCATACAAGGAGTCTCAAAGATTCATGATATTATTCAGAGTGAATTGAAAAAACGAAGAGATAATGCGTCTGAGTCAGGACAAAGTGCATCGTTTAGAAAACAATTGGATGACTTGAATGTCGCGGCGGCGTCGCTTCGTGAATTAAGGCACGAGATCGTCATCGTTTTACAAAAATCTGGATACAAAAACAATCCGCATAGTTATTCTCAATCCGAAATGTATTGTGAGAATGCAATATTTAGATCGGTAATAACCTTGCTCGCATTATATATTTCTTTTTTATCCATTGCACTTTTTTTAATCTCGTTTCGATGCGAGTAAATCGTAATCGTGTTTATCAAAAAAGTTTAATAACATTTAACTACTGCGAAGTCAGAATATATAGTGCAAAAGTTATGGGTACGTTACGAATGACTCCAATACATTCAGTAGGGTGAGTAGCAATTTTGCCGAGGTCATGTTTTTCGTTCGGATCAATAAATAATTGCGCGTTTGGCGTAACGTAATATTTTCGCAATCATTCTGGCAACAGTAACTGAAATGCTAGGGCGACGGATACTAAAAAATGTAAGTTTAAATAAAGAAGTCCTTATTTTGCTTTACCATGTTAAAGTCATATTTATACAATGTGTTCCGTCATTTCCCAGTAATTTGAGTTACTGTACGACTGGATGTCAAATTGGGAAAGTATTATCCAATGCAAAGACGAACAGCTTTCGGTTTTATGTGTCCACTTTAAAGTAAGATAAGTAAAACCAATCATTATTATTATGTGAAAAAAATTTTAATTTCGGCTATGCGCAAAATGGTTGATCGCTTTGTCCATCTTTCTCTTGCAAATATTACTATTACTCTGTTTATCCTTACTGCACTAACCATACCCATGCCATGATATAATGTTTGTTTGTTGGCGTAACCTAACTTTCTATTAGCTGACAGTTGTTTCCATTATGTGGTTATTAGTTTTACATATTTGTTTCCTGAATCTTTTAATGGCAAATCTTAATGGAGCAGTTTTTAATTATCGGCGCGATGATTGGTACTTATGTCTAATACAACAATCTGATTACTGACAAATCTGATAATATTGTAATACAGAATGACTGATTGCTAGATTATTCGATAGATTATCTATCACTTTTTGTCGTTACATGTTCCGTATACGGCAAAGTGCTGGGCATCTCATCTGCAGGATAAAAAAACGTATGCAACCTAATTCTAGATAGAGTTATTTCTTTTTTATCTGGAAAATGTCCAAGTATGCGCACAAAGAGTGGTTAAATGAGAGCCTGAGAGAAGGTTTAATCGAGTGTTGTTCAGATGAAGATATCATTATCCATCCTATGCCTATAGGTCGTGGTGCATATGGTGTAGTCTACAAGGCCAAAATCAAGGCGTCTGGCACGACTGTTGCAATGAAAACCTTGTTTTTTGAGGAGGGCAGTTGTAAAGATGAGTTAATTAAAGAACTTGTCAAAGAGGTTAGCATTACGCGTCTATATTATTGCTTTATCGTTAAAAGTTTAA